TGGTGTAAAAATTAAAAAGTTGTTGGATTGCTAGTTCGGCTGCTTCTTTGTCCTTTTCTTTTGTTTGTTTTAGAGTTTTCATTAAATAAGCATCAATAAAGTAATTTTAAAACTGTTAATTGGAAAGCTGAAGCAATGCATTCTGGGTACATGACGGATTTGATTTGTGACGGGAAACGTAAGCACGAGTACAGGAAACTATCTTTACTTCAAAATAAGAGCATGGATTTTAAAGTTTTCCATACTTTTGTTGTCACTCCAGTTGACCACTAGATGTCAGTCTTCATCAGCATAACATCTTTAAATCATTTCTGCATCTCTTCAGCTAACCCCGTTGGCCGATTGCTTCGACGAATTACGTCAAGTATTGCGCTCCACCGTTTAAACTTTTTTTTTTTTTAAAAAGGAGCTCCGATTGTAAAGTAAAATAAATCAATACATACAAAATTTTACTATGGATTACAAACATTAACTGTTTTTGCTAGGACAGGGAGTGTCACCCGGTCACATAGTTCTAACCATTGCCTTCCTGCTACGTAAGCAGACACAAAGCATTGTGGGAAATGTCTGTAAAATGAGAGAACCGTGACTGAAAGCAACAGTCAGCAAGGACGTATACCTCCCCAATAAATGTGTTTATCTGGGAGGGGTGATGTAGGATAGATCACGTGTTGTGATTCATTGACAGCCATCCGCTGCTCAAGATAATGACTGGTAGATAATTAGTTATTAGCGGTACTGCATTATTACATTATTTAATTTTAGAAAGTGCAAATCTGCTTACGATTTATAAAAATTAGTAAGACAGCTAAAGTGCAAACGAAATACAGTATTTAGGTCCGCAATTAGCGGATTTGTGGCTTAGCAGGCTGGTGCCCACCAGGTCCATCCACAGTGATGAAAATGTGAAATAAACCTACTGCAAAGTAAATGAATGCCTTTCAAATCTGTTAAAGCACACAGTGTAACAAAAACGTTACAAAACACACTACTGAATACATGTCCTTTGGCAATGATGTGATTCCAAAATTTTGTTTAGAGGCTATACTAAAAATATTAATAAATACAAAGTCTGATTTACAAGTATAACATATATATGACCCAAATTTGTGCCCATAGACTTGCTTTAACTAGATCAAAATAAGAAAACCTAACAGTTTAAGTGATCCTACAAGTTTAAAACAAGGTAACTAGACCTATTTACTTGTTATTGAAGATGTTTAACTTATTCAAGGAGCTGCATCATCTCAAACTGATAAAATACGTATCTTGACTAAAGAAACAAAAATTAAGTTTTTCTGTTTTAATCTCCTGGGATTTTTGTGTCTTCAGTGACTGATTCTCAATCAGCTTATGACAAACTGCTTGGTTCAAAGTAAAAAAAGATATATTGAACTTTATTGGAATTCACTTCACTTTGCAAACAAAACCGATCTAATAGAGGAGAACATTTGAATCATAGTACAGATGCAGTTAATCCATTAAATTATAACATGAAGTCTATGAAAAGGAAAAAAATTGTATAGGTCTTCTGGACGGGTTCTTCTTTAATGAAATGTTTCGTCTCTCCTCCAAGAGACTTCTTCAGTCTGAGAGTTTCAGGCTAAATTCAGGCTTTTGAGTCCTGCCTCCAGGTGACTGATACTCACATCACATGGCTATCATTCACACCTAATTAATACCTACAGTATTTTTAACAGGGGGTGGAGAGATACTGCCAATGGCAGCGCTGTAGGAGGGGGACAGCTGAAAACGGAGGCCCCCACCTCTGTTTAATGATGGACGGTCTTTCTTCACAAAAATGGCTTCTTTTACTCCTCTCTCAAACCAACGTTCCTCTCTATCAAGAATGAGAACATCCTCATCTCTGAAAGAGTGACCGCTGGCCTGTAAATGAGWGAAAACTGCAGAGTTCTGGCCATTAGATGTAGCTCGTCTGTGTTGGGACATTCTTTTGAACAGTGGTTGCTTTGTTTCCCCGATGTATAACTGGTCGCAGTCCTCCTGGCACTTAACAGCATATACAACATTGCTCTGTTTGTGCCGGGGCACCGGATCTTTGGGGTGAACCAGCCTTTGCCGTAATGTGTTTTGGGATTTGAAAGCCATTGGGACATCATGTTTAGAAAATAAACGTCTCAGTTTCTCCGAAACACCCGCAACATACGGAATAACCACTGGTTTGGGTCTGGGTTTGGGGTCTTGGGGTCCTTTTGATTTTTTACCTGGATTACTGAGATGCATCAGGACATGAAGTCTGAGTTTGAGTAAATAATATGCATTAAATAAATATTGTGTGGAGGCCTGAGAATATTTATTTCTGATGTGAACTGGCTCTGTATAAATAAACTGAATTGAATTGTATAGCAATAAAATTCCCAATATTAGACATCAACCAATCCTACAAAACAAAATTCACACTACTTTTAAACTGCATAAAATGTGTCTTTATCTTTTACGTAGTAGTCCATTTTTAACCATCTGTCACAAGTAATGTTCAGGATGTAGAGTGAGAAGCAGCTATTAAAATTTTTATCAGCAAAGACATAAAAAAGTTTTATTTTTTGACTCAGATCTAAGTAAACTTTGATCTGAAATGTTTAATGGCACTGGCTACCTTTTGAAATCTGATTAACCACCCTGCCTGGCCACCCCCACTAGAGTTGTCATCACTTTGTTCACACAAAAGCAGTCTTATACAGTTGTCACAATAATTGCTTCAAATTTTGGCTTACTTTTCTTTGCAATCTAAGAATGCAGGGATTTTAGTTAAAATGGCATTTTTATTGTGCCACCCTTCTACATTCAGTGTCCCTGCCAGGCCACCCCCCAAGAAAAAATTCTGCATGCACCCCTGCTTTCAATAGAATTAAATCTTTATGTTAAACTGGCAGAAGCTGAGTCTTAAGACCTCACATATATTACATGGTTGTATTTGATAATAAAAATGTTGGTCTGTGTTGTCTCAGATCTTGATTAAACACAGATATAATGTTACAGAGAAAGCAGGCGTTCATTACAAAATGGTTCTAGTTACTCGTTTGTCTCACCAGCATCGCAGAGAGTTATGTTCCTGTTTGTCGTCTCGTCTCACCGGGGAAGGTCTGTGTTAACAGATGTTGCTCCTGTATTGCCTCCGCTTGTTGCGGGATACTATATTTGAAAATTAGTGAGTTTAAGCAGGCTTTCCTTTGCATGTAATCTGCTTTTGTGACCATCAGAACAGTCTCACACTGACCAGTTGCAAACAAAAGCTGTCATTGTGTCTTAAAATGCTGCCTGTTTGTGACAAGGTTGCAGTAAGAGTTGCTTTCAAAGCTGATAGTCCTTTTCTCTGTGTGTCAGACCCACTCCTGCCTGATGGTCACCGACAAGCTGATGCTGGCACTGAGCCGATCTGAGGAGAAAAAAAACCTCCATCTTTGTGCAGGCAGCATAACGCTTTGTCAGCAGTCTGAATTGGTAACAAGGTTTCTACCTGAGAACTCTTTACTACATTTGTGTCTATTTTTTTTCTGTTTTGCTTCTTAGAGGACATTCTGTCACCCATACGAACTAAAAGTGGCCAACTGCAAGGACAAATCGTAAGAATTAAATTGACTGCATTTAGATTCTGTAATTCATGAAACTTGAATAGAAAAAATAAAATAAATGTTATTTTTAACACATTACATGGTTACATTTCATGAAAATTGAATATATTTTATGTAGATTTCAAACTCTAAAAGAGTAAATAGACTATGACCAAACTTAGTTTTTAAAAGAGCAGATTTAACAGACTTGAAGCTTTAGAACTCTTAAAAGTAGACTTCTAAATAGGCAAATTATCTTTTTCGAGACCCCAAACTGCACCGCTGTTCAGGACTGAATGGACTCAGGGTTCCTTGTTGCTGCCTTTGTTTTGGGTTGTCGTTCAGTCTTTGTAAGCAGTTGACAGGAGGGTGATAGGGTCTTGGAATATCTCCATAAACATGGGGGGTGGAGTTGACCTCCACAATGCTCCTGTCCTTCCTTTTAACTAATGAGGAGAATTTATTTATTTATTTGTTTATTTTCAGTTTTGTTCTTTGTTACAACCCAACTGCAAATGTTTCAAAAAATGTTGGAAAAGTTTCTGGATAAAACGATACGCTTAAAACAAAGTATATCCTCAGACTTTAACAAGGAACAAATTAAGAAGGTGAGATTTAAATATTTATCTTTCCCACTCTTTTCCAAAATAAAAGAAGTGCAATTAAAAATTATAAACAAAATTTATCCAACTAATGACTTTTTGAGACATAGGTTTCAAATGGATGTGGATAAGTGTGGGTTTTGTGAAAAGGTAGTTGAGGATTTGGATAATCTAGTCATGGGGTACAATTAACATAAATAACTATCCAAGATGTAAAATTTGGGTTTTTTATCGTTGACCATAACATTGATTATGGTAGAAATAATGTTCTGTTATTAGCCAAACATCACATACATGAATGTCATTTCTTTAAAACCATTCCTATTTTTGCACAGTGGAAGAACGAGTTAAATTTTTCTACGAGTCATAATGTTTTGTGAAGTCAAAAAAGGCTTTTAAGCTGACTTCTTTGTTAAAAACATTCATACTTTAATGTATTGCCCTGTATGGTGAGTATCGTTTTGATGATGCACCGGCAATGTTTTGTTTTATTTTGGATCATTTGTTTTGGTTAGGGTTCATTTTATTTTATTTTAATTTATTTTATTTCATTTTAATCTATTTAATTTTTTTGTAATTTTCTGTTTAGTTTTGATTGTTGTTTTCTCCCCCCCCCCCTTTTTGTATTTTGTGAATACATAATGTATGGTAACTTTTTGAAGTTGATTGTATATTAAAAGTTTTTTTTTTTTAAAAGCTGATGGATAAAACTTTATTATGCAATTTCCACAACAAAAGTTTTTGCTTTTATTTTTAAATAAGTATATTGTGTGCCTTAACCTATTTAAACAAGATGATATTTGCTTTTTTGTATTTTTTTTGACAGGAGGGGGAAGAAACACAGCATCATTCTTCGAACACAGCTGTCAGTCAGAGTTCATGCCTGCATTGGTGAGTGACTCCACTTGAAACGGTTCTGTGTTGAGTTCAGCTTACCCTTCTCATCTTCATCAGATGTGATATGAGCTCTCATTTCTTCTGTTACACGAGTTGTTTTCTTCTTCTTGTTGTTCTTCTTCTTCCTCTTCGTGTTGAACTTGCACAGTGGCAGTTGTGCGACAGAGTCAGGATTTGTAATTTGAGTGACAATTAACAGCATTTCAACAACACTCCGGAATCAGAGCGCTGCCATGTGTCAGGGAGAGTTGCTGTGTTCTTGTGTGCTTTGAGTATTGTGAGGCAACGAGCACAAAGAGCTGAGTGAAAACACATGCAAACATGCATGCGCTCTGCATGTGTGCAGACACATGTATGCTCAATGTGATTCAGATGTTGGCTTTCAGATTTGGGTTTAAAGACATTGGCTTACATGTTCTGGCCTCTTTTAGAAGGACAGTTTCTGATAAGTAGGTGTTATTTGTTTTGCTACCTTGTTTAATTCTGTTTTATAGCAAGAAATGAATGAAAAGGCTATTTAAGAGTCATTAACTAGCAGAGTCTGTTAGGAACACATTGTGTTTGCAGCAGAAGTAGAACATAATCTCTCATAAAGACACATGCACGCCCTCCTGCTGTGCAAAAAGTAACTCAAGATCTGCAAAGCTTATTAAGCTGCAGACTGTCAGATTCTACATTTGGCTGTTTTTTTAGACGTAAACCACAGGCACAGACAATTTTTTGCTTAAATGAGGTTAATAAGTCTGGGTTTTGTCATTTAAAATGTACAAGCTGATGCATGAGAAGGTGGAATGATCTGGGTAAATTTTAGGACAGCTTAATAAAGTACTGATGAGTTTCTGAAGAACTGAACAGAAACAGTTCCAGCTGGTTTGTGTGGATTACTTAGAGGATTTCTTCAATGCTCCTGACACTATTGCTACGTAACTGATACAGCAAACCTCATCACAGCTCTGATGCTCCTTATAGTTAGGATATGTTATAACAGTGCACAACCAAAAGTCTCCTCATAAGTGTCTGATGTAACGGGTCACAATTTATTAAAGCTACATTAGTAAATATTTGCCTGAACACTCCTCCAGAGTTGATCTTTTTCTACCCCCTTAGTGCTTGGCTTAGTGGATCCTGGGGAGAGACATAGACTCACCACTCTTATCTAAGTGGATGATGACCCTCTTTCTCTAAGTTGACAGCCACCTGTTGCCCCTCTATAGTCTCTTAGTGACTGTCTGAGTGGCTAAAGCGGAGCTGTCATCACCTTAACCTGATGTGCAAGTCTGATTTTTGTCTTATTAGAAGGCTAACTTTTTAAAGGGATCCACGATTAGTTGTAACATTAGACTTTATTTCATAAACATACATTTTAACTGTAAAATAAAGACAGTAAAAATACCGTAGGCTGTTTAGTTTTGTAATTTTTTTAAAATATATTACACGGACGGGGCCATTTTATTTACATGCAAAGCATTCTGGGTAAATGATGACGTGGATAGGTCCTCGGTGTGAGCGAGCTATATCCACCCTGAAGGTTAATCTCTGACAATATCTGATGATCGACTCTTTTAAACRAAACCAGAGAGCGTTGACAGAGAGGAGAAGGTAGAAATGACTCAGCCTGGAACTGAAAATATGGATGGAGGACCTCAGTTTAGCTTGTTAGTTTGTCGTGTTAACGCCGAGCTAATACATATAAGGCAATATAGCKTAGGGGCTAAAGCTAACAAGCTAAGCTGAGGTTCTTCTTCCATGAAGCAGCTCTGTTGTCCTCCATCCATATTTTCAGTTCCAGGCTGAGTCATTTCTACCTTCTCCTCTCTGTCAACGCTCTCTGGTTTCATAAGAGTCGATCATCAGATATTGTCCAAGATTAACCTTCAGGGTGGATATAGCTCGCTAGCAGCCTCGCACCGAGGACCTACCCACGTCATCATTTACCCAGAATGCTTTGTGTGTAAATAAAATGGCTCCGTCCATGTAATATTTTTTTTAAATTTTTGTTTAAAAACTAATAGCCTACAGTATTTTTACAGTGTTTATTTTACAGTTAAAATAAATGTTTATCAAATAAAATCTAATGTTACAACTAATAGATTAAGCATAGTATATTTTGCTTTAAAAAGGAGATTATTTTTTATTAGCCTAGAATTCAGAGGCTACGTTCACACTGCAGGCAAATCCGACCCAAATCCGATTTTTTTGACCCATCTGACTCATATCCGATTTTTTTATGACAGTCTGAACGAGACAAATCCGATTTTTTCAAATCCGACCCAGGCCGTTTCAGTATGTGGTTTTAAATCGGATATATATCTGATGTTTTCAAAGTGACTGCAGTGTGAACGCTCATGTCACATTCATCTGACTTTTTCATCAGGAGGAGGGGCTGAAGGATCGATAAGACACTAACCTCCAGTCTCGCTGTTTAAATCTGCAGCTCCGTGTGTTTACAGCTCCAAAACACAAGTCCAGTTGCTTCATCTTTTTACTTTTCATTTTCCACGTAGATAGTTTGATAATAACATGTCCAGCCTGGGTCGCGGAGAGTATCGATCCTAAAGTTCGATACTTGGTCGATACTTTTTTCCAGCTCGTAGTTTCGTTCAAAAAAAAAAAAAAAGCTTCACTGGAGCATCCCGGTCAGAGGCAGCTTCAGATATAAGCACTGAACTAAAGAAGCATGTCAGATAATTATTTAATCGGCTCTGATTAAACAACTTCCGGTTTGATGTGAAAAATGTAGCATCCATGCTAGCTCTGTAAACAAACAAGCCGGCTGATGAAACGTCACGTCTTTTACTGTGCATGCGTGCCACATCAGTGCTGTGTAGCGTTCACACAGGAGTCTGATACAGGTCACATTTAAAATGTAATGTGAACGTTCACACAAAAAGATCGGATTTTTTCAAAAAATCGGCACTGAGCATTAAGACCTGCAGTGTGAACGTAGCCATAGATTGTGCACTTGAATTTACAGAATCAGCAGCGTTACTTTAAAACAGAATGTCTAAAATTAAACCAAACCAAATTTAGYGACGTTTTTAATCTTTTTCCTATTTTAKTTTTTAATAGTCAAAAATGAATAACCAGCTTCCATATTATAGTGCTGTCAAARCAGGTCTTAACATTTTATTAACTCTGGAAGTTTTTGTTTTACTTTAAATACATCTCTGCTGATGATTGTTTGCCACATTAGCACACCCACGTTGTTAAAATGTTTACAAGAGASGCTCCCGCCACGAACATGAGTAATGAGTCGGTTTCAACTGTGTTTACTCTAATCTGTGTTATTTAGCGCTGTTTTGTGGAAAACCCATTGCATGTATTTCAAGTTTTAATTAGGTAGTGCATCTTTTGGTGTATGTTTTCTGGTTTGGGGGGTTTTTTTCTTAGCAAATTTACACAAAACAGACCCAGCTCTCAATTTGTCTGTCATTGTGTATGCGTGTTCATGTATTATAGTGTGTGTGTGTGTGTTTGTTCATGTGTGCGTGCGTGTCATAAACCACAGCAGGACCTAAGCCAGGCTTCCTTAATCATAGTCATTAGCACTCACATCCATATGTTTGTACTAGAGCATGGCAGAGATCTGTGCAACAAAAAAGGAGGGAGGAAACGTCTCGCCAAAGGAGCTAATGGTTTATTAAACTGTGCTTTATAGATCCACTCGCGGGGCGTGGTAGCTTGGTGGTCATTGCTGCAGTTTTGTAATCCTGAGGTGCAGGTTTAGGGCATCCAGCATGAAACGGCTGCCACAACCTTTCACTACGGAGACCCCTGAAGAAGGAAGGAGCCAAAAGATAAACAACTTTATGGATTTACTTCTGTCACAATGATTTCTTATCAACAGCAAGCTAACGCTCTCTCTTTATATTTTTATTTTACACCAAACGTTCCGTCTCATGCCCATTAATTAGTCATCAATCATAACGAGTACAATCCAAACCCGAATGGTTCATAAAAAACATTTCACCATCAGTCTTGGATTATTTTTTAGATTTCTACTCAAAACTTGCAATGTTATGACATAAAGTATAATATAAATGCATAACTGCATCAAATAAATACATTTTCTCTCAGTTTCAAACTGTTAAAACACCGAGTAAAATATTTATTTGAAGTCTTGTGAATAAGAGAAGTTTCATGCAGTGAAGTGAATAGTTTTGTGGACCAATTCGGATGCTGAAATTGATTTTTTGCTTATTTTGTTTTCTTTTTTAGAACTATGGTTAACAGAATATTATATTTAAAAAAAAATCTATATTTTCATTAAGTCAAAAACACACCAGGAAATTTAAGTCATGGTGTGTTACTGGAAGCCAAAATATTTCTTACCAGAATAACCAGTTTCTTAATTAAATGGATTATCATGCAATGCATTTTTGCCATGAACTTTATAATGAGATTTTGTGTCATATATCTGAATTTCTCTGTTTTATAAAATGAATGTTTTCTCATGCATTTTAAAGTTTGACACTAAACTACAACTTAACAAGAAAAAAATGAAGTGATGTCAAAAATTACTGACACATCACTGCATTATAGTCATTTGATGAAGAAAAAAGTGACAGTTGGTTTTCCTGTCATTAGCTTACCAGGTTTGATTTGTTTTTTTGTTTACATTCACGTAACCCGTACAACAGCGTAGGATTCGGTGAATAAACAGAACTTTCCCAGCCCTGCGTGTTAACTTTGGCCACAGCCTGTTTATATAGTTAGGCTGTAATTATTGTCTGTGAACTAGATGTGGTATCAGGAGTCTGATTAAAGCAGTTTTGTGCTTATTTTAGTGTCGTCCACAAGTACGTTATGGTCTTGTTTTTTTTTTGTGCATTGTTGTCTCTGAAACTTTGAGGGTAAGGTTTAAGGTTGTGACAGACTATTGGTGAAACTAAGAATGAACAATATTCTACAAGTATTTCTAAATTCCCATGTGAGAAATGCAACTGCAGGTATTCAGCAGTCCCATTTGATCTTCAGCAAACATTTGTCTTCTT